AGTAAAGCGAAGGATAAGGGCAAAGGCAAGGGAAAAGGAAAGGGAAAGGGAAAGAAAACTAAAAATAATGAAGATGAAGGAATGGACGTTTCAGATGTAAGCGACGACGATGACACATTTTGCCTAGAATGCACCGAGTCTTATACTGCAAGTGCACCTGGTGAAGAATGGGTCCAGTGCATTACGTGCAAATTATGGGCTCATTCTAAATGTGCAAAAGGCAATTTGCTATTTTACGAATGTAAAAATTGTCTTTCAGATCTAGAAGACTGATTTAAAAATATACTTACATTATTTAAATAAGATAGTATGTGTTAGAAAAGAGTTTTTTGTTTTTATACTATAATTGATGTAAAGTCATTAATACTTAAGAAAATGTTGTTAGAATAATTATAAGACTGAACAACACGAGACTTTACACTATTTTCATTGTTTTTTTTTTTTAGATATTTCCAAGTTTATGGATGTTGATTGATCTCTGACTTGATTTGTAATAAGAATAATTTACGTTCATCTTCAAATTGTTTGTTAATTAAACAAATAGTGAATATATTGATAATTTAACCAACTTTAATAATTTAAGTGACTGTTATATTTTCTTTAACTTCGTGATACCCAAGAATAGATCACAAATTTAAGTTCTCTTACTTTAAAATAAAAAGCTACTTACGTTTATTAGTAATTTTCGTTGTTTTTCTTTATCAATCCCTTTAGTTACACCAATTACGGCCTTAGTCAACCTACCCCATGCTTATGGGCGACCTACCCCGGATATGGGGCAGGTTGACCAAGAGGCAAGGGTTTTGAAAATCGTCAAAATAATTATTATAACGATAAATATTTAGGTATCTAATTAGTGTTCTAGGTACCTGGATAGTTCCTCTATCTGTGAACACTGTCATTTTCTTTTTATCTACTCAAATATTGAACATATAGCAGCTTAAGTGAAAACCTAGTCAACCATCCCCGGTCTCCCCTAAAATTGAAAAGTTAAAGGGAATGGATCTGCCATTACAGTTCAAGTCAGGAAACAATTATTGTCTTTCAAACTATTTAAAAGGGAATTATTTAAATGTAAGGTAAAGAATGTCAGTATAGTACACCTCTCTTCATCGTGGGCGATCTTAATTATGCATGCAGTCAGGTCTTATAATAGATTACCCGGAACTGCCAGGGTTGGTTTGTCACTCCGTTGGTTACGAGGGTGGCATATCATGCGATAAAATTGTCTTAGTATAGGAACAGGTACTTATTCAAGGACATTGTCTAATAATAGAAAAGTTTTCTCTGAAAAATTGCCTAGTCTTAGCAAGATTCCTAAAAAGGGAGAGTTCAGAATGTTATAAAAAGGCCTTGTGGAGTTAGTGAGGATGCGTCTGATAGTGGAGAGTTGAAAAGACAGTTGTTCCGACTACCAAGGTAATTGACTAGTAAAGGTAAGCTGGTTTATATGACCTGTCCACTCCTTATAAAGAACTTAGTAGGTTATTTTAATTATATTTAATAAGCTCCTAAGTCAGCATAAACGCGATAAGATCAGATATGGTTTCCATAAAAGCCTCACGAGCTGAAAGATAATTCCGTACCCTGTTTCAGAATGTTATCCGAGATCGTTCCACTGCTTGCGAACCAAAAACAATCACAATTATGTATAAAGCCATTTACTGTGGGGTGCTGATAAGCCATCGTTTTGCTGTTTTCTCCATTTAGTAATACAATTACCATATAAACGGTTGTCCCTATTGTTTTCATTGCAATGGTTTTAAACCTTACCTCAGTTAATTTTAGCATGCGGTAATAGTGTGAACGCATCTTATTATGAAATTGTTAGGGCTGTGATGGTTAGGAATTCGGGTGGATTCCTAATAGTCCCTGACCCTTTACCAATATGAATCTATACAAATTCCGAAGTCGGCTCCTAAAATTAATTCAGAACTCATCTCGATTTTCGATTTCTGCTAACTTCTTTGTGGTTGTTATTGCGTTATTTCAACAGAGAAATTACACTGCAATTGCATTAACTATCTACTTGATAGTTACGTCTGAAATTGATCTTCAATAGATTACATTTTTACCGACATGATGACATCATCGCGTTTTTATTTTTATGATATGAATTCGTTTTAAACTGTAACAAAATGTGTGCGGTAACCCTAAAACCGTACGTAACGTAAACACACTGAACGGGAACACTTATAACAATAACACGCGCAACTAATTTTAGACACTTACTGAATAGTTACAAAACTCTTACTTGATTTATGAACTGTAAAAATATAAAGAAAGTTTCGAAGCACACTTGAAATTTCCTTTTCTGAAACGTGTTTTAATTCCTTAGAAGAAAGGTCTAATTTCCTTTAAAGCTGCCTCCTTCTAAAATGGTTTTCGTGTCTCTGAAGTTTGTCTTTCAATGTTGGCGAAACCAATCTAGTTTTAGTCTAGTAACTTTGCCAAGACTTAGATTGCACTGTCAAACTAGAGTTTCCCAATATGCCTATAAGTATCTGTATACGATTCCGACCACAACCATAAATAAGACTCATTTTAAATTCACAACTTTGCATTTATGTAATTTCCAAACAATTATTTAACTTTGTTCAAAGAGTTATGCAAACTTCTAGACCGATCCACGTCATCAAACGCCATGTAAAAGTCTGGCACACAACTTGGAACCCTTCCGTTTGCCTGGGGACGTTTAGAAATTGTTTTACTGTAACATTACGGTTGTAAAACCAAGTAACCAACAGGTTTCGTCTGTTCATAACAGAGGGGCAAAGTTGATTGAGGTAGATATTACTTTTAGAATAACTATTTCCTATGCAGACGGTTATTTTTGTGATTACTAGGTTTATAGACAGAATGTAGCTCCTCATATTATGCTTTAATTGCTTGCTATTTCATGACACTTTCAAAAAAATATAAACATAATTTAACTTTCATATATTTCTCACGAACTGAACATGCGCCACCAAATATATTGAAACTATCTTCTTCGTTCTTTTCTAACAAAATACCTCTATATATCCTTGCCTCATACAATTTTCCGTAGAAACTCTTAAACTACACACATCATCAAAAGAATACATGGTACCAATGTCTCGGTGGCTCGTCTTACGTGCGTTGTGCAATTCTGACGCAACGCAGGACAATCGCCACTGAACAATGGACCAAGATAATAACACTGCTTAGTGTTTAGATACACAAGCTTAGACTTAGTCCTTCACATTATAATAGACCATTTTACTTATTACACTAATTTCTTAGACCTACTTTTTGCTATTGTAGTCGTTACGTTGGTTCTAGCATTCTTCCATGACGACGTGATGTGATAATGCCATCTTAGGATTCATAAGTCTCAAGGTTTCTGCGAGCTTAGTTTCGAATTCCGTATCGTTTAGAAAGAGCTGTTACATACCAGTTATTCTGTCTCAATAAAAATGTTATTAATCATCTTCAAGTTTTGTAAATTGCTGTACAAATAAACTGCCTACCTCTTTAACTGTGTCTGTATTTTAACAGCGTCTAAGCGAGAACAATGTTCGTAGCACAAACAGCTTTCCGCACAAGAGTTAAGGTTCAACAAGGTCTCTATTCAACCGCAACAAGAATGTTATTCCTATTTAAAATATTCTACAAACGTTAGGTTTATCTCAGAACACGTAACTCCATTTGTTCGATTCCCGCGTGCCAAGAAACTCCAATTCTAAGTAATAAACTATTGACCAAGGAAAACTCGTAGTTTGGAAACGTATTGACAAGGGAATATTACGGTTTTCCTCAAGAAAATAGCTTTTTAAATAAAGCTTTCAACAAAACTATTGATTCCGACGAAAAATAGTAATGTAGTTATGTAGGACTGGCATTATTGCGAGTGTTACAATAAGTGTTTGTGCGAAAACTGATGGCAAGGCAAACATAATCAATACGTATTAATTACACGCACACCCCTCTTCCACACAGCTCTGTACGCCCGCACCTTTGATGTAATATTACGATGTGCGAATAATCCGCTAGCGAAATCCTGAAAGCGCATTCATTTTGTAGCTGAAATAAGCAGGTAGTTCGCAGTACTGAGATCGATTGTGAGTCTGCTAGGAAAATATTCCCAATAATTAGGACCCGCGCAGGAAGATAGCCTCCCTTCGCCGTGCATCCACGCATGCGTATAACCGACCGGCTTCTGTCAAAGCCGCGCTTGCGTAGTGAGCCTCCCGCGACCGGCCTGGTTGCTGTGTGCATTGTTTGACGAACTGCATGTTTTACGAGCCTCGAGATCCTTGACCCCAGGGTCCCGGGAATTACACCCTAGATTCTAGATAAATCATAGTTCCCTTCTGCAGAGAATAGGAGGCTTTCTCTTCCATGTCGCGGTGAGTCCTTAGCGCCTTTGATTTGTAAAATGTTTATATTTTCTTGCGTTACAAATGTATTGGCTTTATGTGTCTGCTTCATATTCGTTATCGAATGATTCATGGTCAGCCATTTTTGCACGGTGTAAGTTATGTTAATAGAGCTTGAAAGGTGGCTTGTCTCTTATCGCATACGTATTTACGTAGATATTGTTGAAGATTGCAGGTATTGTAGGCGATTGATGTAGGTTGTTACTATCTAATTTTAGATCATTTCTTTGAAAATGAACTTGGATTGCTGAATAGATTATTGCATTTTGATTTGATTAAGTATACCTCTTTCGGTCTTGAGGTCTTTTCTAGTTACGGGACATATTTGTAAGAAGCATTAGGTATTATATTTAAAAGGAGACCACCATAACAACTAAGTTATCCAAGATAATATACAGAAACAATTTAAACTTAGTACTTACATAAGGTTGAATTAGAGTTAAAATAAAACTCATTATGACAAATAAAATGTTATAAATGAATCCATTTTAATAATAATGTATGTGTTTTGTTGCAGAGGTCGTTGCGTTGCGTGATATAAGACGCGGCGCGCGGTTGTCGAGCGGTCGGTACGTTTGAGAGGACAGGCTACACCTCGCCATGTCCACCATGAGTGAATTAGACAACCTCCGTCAAGAAGCGGAGACGCTAAAGAATGCGATCAGAGTGAGTATTCTGCTGTCCATCATCATCAGTTTATCAAGGTCTGTTCCTGGACGAAGGCTTCTTTCATAACGCCCCATAACACCCTCTTTTTGAGGGTAGAAAATTATCAAATTACTCTTTCCGCCCTGGGTGAGGCAGGAGGGAGTGCCGTAGTCTTAATTACTAAAAACCACTATATTTCAATCTACCCCGGACTCTGGGCTTATAAGACTCTCTCTCTACCTACCACAAGATCAAACTGGCTGCTATGTTCTTTGATTAAGTAGGTACAAACTACAAAGTCAGCAGCTCAACCTGTTGCCAATGTGAACAGTGAAGTTTACCTGTTGATTGATTACCTGGGTGTGGCATGCATTAAGTGAAAGAAATTTTAATTTAGTATAACAACATCCATCTAAGCATGCAAAAAGAGCTGTTGGAAATGCATCTTTGGAATTTTAATTAAACAAATGAACAATCATTACCTTATCATGGGATTGTTTGTTACGTACCATTCGTTTAATGTATTTATTTCATTTTAAATTTTATTTTACAAACGAGGCCTTAGTTCCCAGTTACAATTTTGGTATATTTCTATGTCAGTGCCATTAATATCCACCTAAATCTTCAGGATGCAAGGAAGGCGGCCTGCGATACGTCGCTGGCGCAGGCGACGGCGAACCTCGAGCCCATTGGGCGCATACAGATGCGCACGCGACGCACACTGCGCGGACATCTCGCCAAGATCTATGCGATGCATTGGGGCAGTGACTCCAGGTAATATTTTGACATTCCAGTCAAAATTATGTACCTAGTACTATGTATATTAGTGTTTCCCAGTGTGCTTTCTACACCGCCTCTCTATGAATCTTAACACTTTTCCAACTTCATGAGGTGGAATAAAATTATTGTATAGGTCAGAAATGCATTTTTTAAGTCCACACCGGTCTGCCCAGGTCAGTTAGTGGCCTACAAGCGTTCCACAATATCTTATTACTGTTGGTCTAACTGCTGGATAATTTGACATGTTTTCCAGAATAGGGAGATTGAGATATATATTATGAAAGACTCCAAATCTAAACCAATCAGCCGTGTTGGACAAATGGTATAAATACCCATAATTATCTGGTGAACCAGGTCAAACCAGAAACCGGTGTATCTCAATAAACAAAGTTTGGATCAAAACAAATGCTGTTTCTCCAGTCTGACATAATGAAAGTTGAAATCTGGATTATATGTTTTAGTTTTTATCGTGATTAATGGTTTACAAAACAAAATATTGACTACAAGAAACCAGAATTTTCTTATGGTTCAGTTCAAAGTTATGTGATCATATGCATCTGTAGATAAAAAGGATAACTGGCTCGTGATTAAGTTCCTCGTTTCTACAAAACTAGATACTCTTTATAAACCTTTGTATAATAAATAACAAATTGTGAATCCTGGAATATACTTTATAATTCATACTTTTACTCTTTTCCTCTGATTTCTTACGAATCCATTCTAAATATCGACTCTTACTAAGAAATGTAAGCAGTTCTATAATAAATCACATATTTGGACATCTGTGACGCTCGCACGGCGCGGCCAACAATAATAAAATGCTAAATTTAAAAGCATATTATTTGTTTTGTCTCAATACTAATCTATTTCTTATAAATATAATTAAGTCACTGGATTCAAAATTATATAGATTGTGCATTTTGCGTTTATATTTAAGTTGCGATATTGGTCCAATTTTTATGGAATCTTTGTTCCAAACTCCTTGTTAACGTATGATAGGATTCTTTAGAACTTTCCTAATGTGGTATGCACAGGAGTACTTATAAATGTAATACTTTGTAAGTAAATTAAGCTTTCGTCTGTGATTATTAAAATACCTGTATAATAAGAGAGGGTCCTCTTATCTGGACACATTCCACAGGTTTGAGTTACTTGGCCCTAAGATTTCATGACAGACTGACAAAATATCTGTGTATCACTTCAAGGCACTTCCTAACACTACTACAGCAGATATACTGTATTGTATCATTTGTATTTCAAAACTAATTCAATATAATTTGAGTTTCCTCCATCATCACATCCTTATAAGTATTACTTTGTGACATTTCCTTCTGGTTAACATTTACATTGACGACACAAAATCGTTGCCTACAATCACAGCTAAACAATAAAACAGAACAGACAATAAAATTAATATATTACGCGTACATTACTCACTTTTCCCGATAATACACAATAAAGTCATCATTTTCCCTACCTTAAACACATTAGAATAAGGTTCAAAACTGGTTCGATTTTGGAAACAATAATTGAGTCATTGGTACATTAGTGTAGCTATCTCATTTGAAGGAATGACGTCAATTGTAACGTAGAAGATCTTTAGAAGAAATCATTAATCTTTAATTGTTGTGGCATATGATAATCTCTTTTATTATTATGATCGTTCTATTGGTCTAATGGTCCTATTGCCAAGCACGAACTTTTTGGTGATTTCTGTAGTTTGATGAAAATGCAGACCGCATTTGAAAACGACAATAGTTGCAAAGGATAATCTTGTTATGCCGCTTTATTACAGACAAAGCTGTGTTGCTAATAATATGTATGTATGTACTAAAATAAAAATAATAAATGTACTTACATTGCATATTTACCCTAAGGTCTCAGTACACTATAATATTAACTGTGTTGGTATTATGTGTACGACAATGATGTAAAAAGAGCGGAGCCTCCTAATACAGGCATTGTTTGCTTAAAAGGGGGCTCCAAACACGTTAACATGTAATGTACTTATTGACACAATAAACTATTTTGTATTTGTATTGTATTTTGTATGTCAATCTTCGGCAATACAATACTCCAATCAATATAAGACCACCTGATCGTAAATAATTACTGAAGCCTAAGTACAAGTGGCGGCAACATAGTTAATTAGTTGAAATTATATATTCTCATTAGTTATCTTGAATCACGTTGTTTTGTTTTCTTTAAAATTTATATCATAACAACCAATGACGACATACTTACCTGATGCATACTCGTATCGTCAATGTTTACTTGATGACACATAAAGAAAAAGGTTTGTGAACTGAAAAAACTTTTTGCTGCCTGTAGTCTTTGTTTGTAAATTGTGTGTATTTTCTTGACTTTTTGAACTACATTTGATATGATATCCAACCCGCCTGCACCGCGCGAAGATAATGGCAAACCCATCTTAACTGATCAATCCCCAAGTGGTCACCGGTAACCGCTCTCCATTATAGACCTTATTTCTGACGTTTAGGGACTACTTTTGTGTGAAAAAATTTTGGGCATTTATATCAGATGATTGTATAACTAGTAAGCCGTAGTAGTAGAGTAAGCCCATAGTCTATAACTCTATCAAGAGCTTATCATGAAAATATTAATATTTTGAATGTTTTGTTTATCAGGAACTTGGTGTCTGCGAGTCAGGACGGCAAACTGATAGTGTGGGACAGCCACACAACCAACAAGGTGCATGCGATACCGCTGCGCTCCAGCTGGGTGATGACCTGCGCGTACGCACCCTCCGGCTCTTACGTCGCCTGCGGTGGATTAGACAACATATGCTCCATTTACAGGTCAGTATTTTCAATGAGAAAATTGAAATAAAAACTGTATTGTGCTACGGTATAAATCTGTATCATCTGAAGAGAACTGCCTTTTTTATAATGGGGTGAAACCTTCAAAAGGCGTCTAGCTTTTTTGGGGATAAAAAACTAGAGAGGGTGGGATTCTTATCTCACTAAAACCACCACCATCATCACTTATGGGGATGAAGAGTCTACTACTGTCTTTAAATCACGAGTACATTGGTGGCTTATTTATAGACTTACATGCGGCATCATTTCTTACCACCAGGCATTATAGGGGATAGGTCAAACACTTTCCTATAAAATTAAAAAGTTTCTGGTGTGATGATGTCTGATAGAGAAGAATGAAAGAAGACATTGAACTGATGAATATTATCTTGTTTATTAATGAAGCTTGACATGGACAAATTGAATGAGTATGAATTGTATTTTTATTACATACTGTTGTTGCAATAAAACGAATTTGTATCCATCAGTTGTCGCTCAATAACAGGAAATGGCTAAACAACAAAGTAATGAAATATTTATAAAGTGTTTGACCCCAGAAATATTAATGTAAAATATGTGCATGGCCCAGATTCAAACAATAAGCTTACTATGTCGACCTCGGTCTGCTGATCTAGTGATAGCGGATTTACATCCTGACACACAATATTGCACAAAACTGTGGAAATCGTTTTTCTCACTTATATTTATAATACTTTTCAAGTCTGTTTGTTGTTGATTTACTAAAGCAGTATTTTGTAATATGCAATTCCATTGCTAGACAATCTCGCTCGTGATAACCGGGCTACAGCTGTTTAGTTCGATTACCGCGTTGCATAAACTGGTACTACTTAGTATTCAAGTGTAAATATGAGTATATCCTTCTCTACTAATTGATGTATTGTAATATTTCAGTTTGAAGACCCGCGAGGGTAACGTGCGCGTGTCACGCGAGCTGCCCGGCCACTCGGGCTATCTCTCTTGCTGCCGGTTCCTCGACGACAACCAGATCCTCACCAGCTCTGGCGATATGACTTGGTAAGTTGACTACAGTAAACTGATGATCCTTAGAGTTTTCATTTAGGTCATATGTGAATCTTGATTTCAATTCATTTTAGGTGTTAATTGATAATTTACGGGAAAGTTATCAGAGAGCAAATGATGTTACTAACATACAGAAAGATAGACAATACGAGTAAAATGAAAAACAATTAATCTTATAAGATGTTGCTTGAAATGCGAACCTCATGCAAGCATCAACTCTAATACAATATTATTTTTTGTTGAACATTATTAATGAAGCATGTTGATATGTTTGCAGCGCCCTGTGGGATATCGAGACAGGCCAGCAGTGCGGCCAGTTCACCGGCCACACGGGCGACGTGATGTCGCTGTCGCTGGCGCCCGACCAGCGCACCTTCGTGTCCGGCGCCTGCGACGCCTCCGCCAAGCTCTGGGACATCCGCGAGTGTCAGTGCAAGCAGACCTTCCCCGGACACGAGAGCGATATCAACGCCGTCACGGTAAGTACACTCGTATTCTTAGGAAATAGTACATTTGCAGATTATTGGTAGACTTTCAGGGTCCTTGGTCTATATCGTCACATTGAGGCTGATTAATCAGCTTCATATAAAAATAAATCTGCATTAAGATCGATTGGAGGAAATAAGACATAAAGCCATATTGAATTAAAGTTCAGCTTGCAAGATAGATTAACATTACTACTAACGGTAGATGAAGCGTAAAAGAATTGAATAAGCATTACAGTATACATAAATCCAAATCTAACGTATTTCTATGTTAAAAGTCGAAGGCAATCATTATACTTAATCGCTAATCTTATATTTGTAATTTTCAGTTCTTCCCATCCGGGTTTGCGTTCGCGACCGGTTCAGACGACGCGACGTGCCGCATGTTCGACATCCGCGCGGACCAGGAGCTCGCCATGTACTCGCACGACAACATCATCTGCGGCATCACATCCGTCGCATTCAGCAAGTCGGGCCGACTGCTACTGGCCGGCTACGACGACTTCAACTGCAACGTCTGGGACTCCATGAAGAGCGAGCGCGCCGGTTGGTATCTTTATGTAATAGGTGTAAATGACAGATCACTTTATACCCTAATGCAAAGTGATAAACGCCATCCATGGGCAATAGGGCCAAATGAATAGGCAGATCACCTGATAAAAGGTGATCAGCAATACCCATGGACAATAGGAGGTAAACAAGCAGATATATGACTTGATAGATAGTGATTGGTGAAAGGAAAACAATATTAGAGGAAACTATAAATATGTTTCTGGAGTTTTAATATTGAGTGCACTCTTTTTTAAAGGATTGAATGTTTTGTTGTAGCTCATTTTATCTTCGGGCAAGTGTCGCCAAATAAATATTTGTATAACAGGAAAAACAATCAATGAAATGTATCTATGATACATGAAAAGGAATTTGTCCTAAATAGATACACAGAATGTATAGACTGAAAATATACAAATAATAATAATAATTACTGTGTTTGTCTCTTGTTCGTGTAGTAATAATAACATACATAATAAATATAATGTGACATCATTAAATGAGATAATAATTGTGTTGTAACTGTTATGTAAGCTCGCAATTAGTATTTAGTCACTTCAACACTCGTACCACAGTCTCATCAATGCTTATAGTTGTCAGTTATTCTACTCTGACTAAAATATATTTGTTTCTATCTGCAGGTATCCTGGCTGGACATGACAACCGCGTGTCCTGCCTGGGTGTGACCGAGAACGGCATGGCCGTCGCCACCGGATCCTGGGACTCGTTCCTCCGCATCTGGAACTAAGCCCCCCTCCTCCTTCCCCCCGCACCCCTCCCGCACCCCACCCTCTGCACCGCACCCCCTGCCGTCAACTTGTAACTACGTGTGGATTACAAACTGCCTCACTAGCTGGGTAGAGAACTCATCAAGAGTACTTCTAGAGCCTAGAGCATCTCTCTTCCAAGTCCTCGTTGGTCCTCGTCTCTCTACCCAGCCTAGCGGGGCCCAGTTTACATGTGCGGATGGAACTTGAATGATAAGTTGATGGCTAGCCCCAGTTGAACCGGTGACGTCAGTTTCTAGTTTTATATTCGATATCAAGCGGTGTGTGAATGTGTTAGCTTCTAATTTTGATATCTTACTGACGATAGTCCATGTATTTCCTTATTCGGTTCGACTATCGCAGCCATTGGGATAGCTCAATGTGTAACGAAATTCGACTTTGACAGACCTGAGTATCGTCGGTCTTTATATTCTAAAGGGGCGGCTGTTTACCTAAACCTGTATAAAGTCCAGTCATCTTATAGTTCATTGTCATTACGTAAATATTTCTGATTTGAGGCACAAATGACTTGGTGTATATAATGTCGTACTGTGTTACTGAAACATGTCGGCTAGGAATTATTCTGTATATCGGATGCGCACAACGAGCACAGACATACGACACGAGTCGCCGCGTCAGCACGGGACGCTCCCGTATATAAAACTCGCTTTATTTATTTATAATTATAATTTCTAACAATATTAAAAGCATTTAAACAACTTTTTAGGGAGGAATGTAGTTTACATGTATGTGTGAGTGCGCTGTCAGTGTGCGTGTGTGAGCGTCATTACTGATCCATTGTTCACTGCATAAAGTATATTATTATGTATAATTATAATTATGTAATGGTATAATTAACGATAGACGCTGGTGACCTTTCCGCGGAGGGGTTCAAGGCTGCCGGAATCATTTTCTGTTTCTTGGTAAGTAGATTCGATGTTAAAACTAGTATTCTATATCTTTGAAATGAAAAGAAAATCACTTAACTCCTAGCGAGTATACGACAGACAGCTTGTGTGTAACTTTGTCAGTATTCAGTAATATCTATACGTTAATGCAAATAAGTTACCAATTTGAACTGCCGATATTTCGAAGGCCAACTTTGTTGTCAAGTTTCATAGCACTGTCATTTGTAAAATGAATGTTTGTCAATCCGGCAGTCAGTAGTCGGTGTGAAAGTACTTTCTTCTATTCTTTTATACTTATTACTGTTAATTTAGCGACAATTCTATTATCAACTGAATATTTCTATTCTTTCCAATGATATTTTATCGCTAAAGTAATAGGAATAAGACCAAAAGAGCCATAAGTTATGTTTTAAATATTATTATTATTGTAAATTAGTAAATGTTAGTTTGGCACGTTTAATGTATGACGTTACTCTTTGGGTTTCAGGTGACAACATCGCACAACAGAATATTATACAATCTATAAAAAAACTATAATTAAAGAACCAAATATTAATTATAAATGTATCTATGCATAACTTATTGAATGAGAACATTGTTTCCGTTTCTCGTCACTTCGATGTAATCCTAACGTGGTTGAGCTACTAAATATTTAATATATGTTTTAGATTAGTCAACACACCGGTTTGTTATAAGTATGAGATTGTACCGATCTCCATTGACGAATAAAAATCATTTTTTGTACCTACATAAGGACGCTGACACACGAATTTATTCATTTGTCGCGAAATCTGCGCATACGCACATGATTCACCGATACTGCGCTGGTACTGTACTCCACCACAGCCATATTAGTTCCTGTGTCAGTGTCCTTACATTGACGTTCACGAATAATTGTAAAATGAGATCTAAATCTTAATCTAGGCTTTAAGCGTACAATTACAATGATTTATACTTTGACATGCAATATAATTTATCTATATCCAATATAATTTCGTATCATTATCCCTTATTAGCACAGGTATAGGGTGCATTTTGGAATGACTTGAAACCGTTTTGCGTAGCTTTGTGTCGTGAATTGTGGCCGGTACGACTTAACAAAATATCGTGGTTAAACGAATTTGTCTCATTCCAAATTGTGTCCTTGTTTTCACCAAATGACATGAACTGACTTCTTTCAGCCACTGAACTAAGTCATTGCTAAGATTCCATACAAAAGCATACTAATGCGTGTAACACCGCGAAATAAATGCATTTTTTCTCTCTCCATTCCTTATTGGGCGTAGTGGTTTTCTTATGTAAAAATTGTTTTTAAAACTTAACGTGTAACAGTTCTGCAGTGATGAACGAACACTGAGACAGGCTGTTTATCGATTACCGTCATTAAATAATTAATATTAAAATGGATATTCGCGAACCTATGATAATATCATCAGTTTATTTGCGCGAGACTAACATTTTAACACTGGGGTCGTTTAGAAAATAATCGTGATTGTAATAGATACTAATATTAAAAAAATACATACGAAACAGCAGTGTAATTCTAGTCGAAAGATGTATTACGGTCGGGAAAGTTTAACTTGGAAGATTGTCTAAAGTTGTGTGATGTTTTTGATCTTTTAAAAAGTAAGATATATTTGCCAAGACGGCGTATTTATTATTATTGTTAGTTCTCGCGTAAACAAGCAAGTAATTCACATTGTCGTACGCACTATTTTATATGTTTATACCGCTTTCACTATGATTAAATATTAAAACGTATTTGGTATGCATTTTATTTATTATGGTTGTTAGGAATATAAGGCATAAAACTTGCTCATGATTATCGGTTTTAAAATTATATTCCAACTTACAGTGATGAATAATATGTATAGTAAATATGCTTTAACAGTTCATAATAGTACTTAGTCCATCTTCAATTTTGAAACATTTAAACCTTGAAATATTTTCAATCATAGATGGTTAATTTTAAACTAAGCATAAACGGTAGCGTTTTTAATGTCATGTAAGGGTTACCATGTTTAAAGATTATCTCGTATTCACACGCAGACATAAAATGTTATCCCTTAACAGTTCATTATGGTGGGCGAAGCAACATCACCGTCGCCCATTAAGTTCATTTTACTAGACTAAGCTAGCTTTAGGTACGTAAGAATTAATATACATGAATAAAAAATAGGCATTTGTATTTCGAACATTCTGTGTTGCTAACTGCAAAAATCGATGCCAATATTTTTCTTTGTAACACTTAGTTTATATTCGTTGCAGTATTTGTTGGGATTTTAAGCACAAAATATTTTATAATTATTGTTTGTCGGCTTTTTTTAATTATACAATCGATGGATGGTTGTCGCGCTATTGTTTTATTTTTTATTTTTTTTGTTTAAATTAAGCCTTTTGTCTTAGATAGGTTATAATATAGATGTTTGTATTAGGCAGACGAAGTCGGAAAAGAGCGACATTCAGGGCTAATGTATTTTTTTTAAGAAAACAAAATATAATCAATTTCATTTCTATAGTTTGTCGTGCTCAATTATCATAATATTTATATTGCACAAAGGCGGCGCAAAACTGTAAACAATTGAATATTTTTTACAATATGAACTCAAAGACAAACAGGTGAATGTAATTAATAAAAAATGGCATATCAAACAATTTGTCCGCCATTTTGTATCGCAGAATAATCATCGAGGTATAATGTTATTGTGTGTGAATTATTATGTTGATTAAACACGTTTTGAGAATATCTATGTTCACGCATGCATCTATTTGTCTATACGTAAGGTAATTTTGCATTATGGGAATTATTTGTCCAACGAACAAATATGGCCGCGAACGTTTGGCGGGAACTCAGACGAGGCAAAGGCAACGATCGTATACAGCCACACAGCTGCCGTTGGACAAATAAGTAGGATGTATTCTGAAGTTAGCTCCGGTCTGCTAGTTTTACGCCTAGGATAAGACTCTTTTTTAAATAATAATAAAAAATTGTTTTCTACTGTAACGGCTTCTTTTCAGATCAATGTACGATAACTATAATATAGCATTATATGATATGTATGATATTTAATGGATAGTTTTGATGGCTCATATTCTGTTTTTTGTCTATTCAGACCAATTTTTCTCACTTTTACATCATATTATTGGAATGGACTGCCATATTTTAACCTGTAAACTATAAATATACTTAAACGAGGGAGACAGATGGAATGGTTATCAGGGATTGTGATGCCTAATGTGGTGTGTTACCGCCGAGTAGCCCGAGATCCTCGAATTTGTTTAAAGAGCCGGAGTGTCCCTGGAATTGTATATCATATTCCTTTGGAACTTAAAGGATTCGTATACCTTAGTTAACTTTTATTTGCTAGTCCGCGTCTTTAATATGTTTAATGAAAATAATTATTCTTAGTGGTATAATACTAATTATAATGTATTGTGTAAAATATTTTTTTTAGTTATTATATCAATAAATTAAAATTTGTTTATTTTAATTGCCTCTTTTATTTGACTGTTTCATTTCTTGTATGAATATAAATATAATTATAATTAGCCCTCCGACTTCTAAATGCATAATACAACATAACAGTGTATTTACCTTGTACGCAAACATGAATTTAGTAAAACTAATCGAATCATTGTTAATCACATGTTGAAGACTGCATTGCAAGTCTCAAACGATCTGTACTACTAAGGAAGATTTCACTTCTATCCACGACGAATTAGAATCCAGGGATTACATAGGTAGGCGTGCTCTATCGTCGACTACACCATCGCTTACCACCAGGCGAGATGGTGGTCAAACGTCAACCTATGAAGTACCTATATAAAAAAAAAAAATACTAACTAGATAAAGCCCTCACTAAACTTATTATACACTATTTGAACCGATTATTACATACGTCGACTTGGCACTGCAGTCTATGGATTAGGAGGTGCTTTGTTAAGATCAACTATTTTGTAACTGCTGAAACAAATGTAAATAGTAGAGTGCCAAATACTTTGCTCGTTTCGAGAATCAAACCCGAGAACACTTGTTCTCGCGGTCGCAGTTTGTGGGAGTGTGTGGGAGAGCC